TTGTTAGTACACTTGACACTGTATCTTATACTAGTAAAGTACATTTTCCACTGTATCATACTAGTTTAGTACATTTGACACTGTATCTTACTAGTAAAGTACATTTTCCACTGTATCATACTAGTTTAATACACTTGACACTGTATCTTACTAGTAAAGTACATTTTCCGCTGTATCATACTAGTTTAGTACACTTGACACCGTATCATACTAGTTTAGTACACTTGACACCATATCATACTTGTTTAGTACACTTGACATTGTATCTTATACTAGTAAAGTACATTTTCCACTGTATCATACTAGTTTAGTACACTTGACACTGTATCTTACTAGTAAAGTACATTTTCCACTGTATCATACTAGTTTAGTACACTTGACACTGTATCTTACTAGTAAAGTACATTTTCCACTGTATCATACTAGTTTAGTACACTTGACACCGTATCATACTAGTATAGTACACTTGACACTGTATCGTACTAGTAAAGAACATTTTTCACTGTATCATACTAGTTTAGTATACTTGAAACTGTATCGTACTAGTAATGTACATTTTCTACTGTATCATACTAGTTTAGTACACTTGACACTGTATCTTACTAGTAAAGTACACTTTTCACTGTATCATACTAGTTTAGTACACTTGACACCGTATCATACTAGTTTAGTACACTTGACACCATATCATACTTGTTTAGTACACTTGACACTATATCTTATACTAGTAAAGTACATTTTCCACTGTATCATACTAGTTTAGTACACTTGACACTGTATCTTACCAGTAAAGTACATTTTCCACTGTATCATACTAGTTTAGTACACTTGACACTGTATCTTACTAGTAAAGTACACTTTTCACTGTATCATACTAGTTTAGTACTAGCCAACCAATATCCCCCCCATCCTAATGAGGCCAACCGATATCCCCCCCCCCGTCGTAATGAGGCCGACCGATATCTCTCCCCCTATCCTAATGGGCCAACAGATATCTCCCCAGTCCTATTTCTCTCAAATAATCTTAGGTCACAAAACGATCAAAGTTGAATTTGCGCTTCGCCTCATATCTTAAAAACACGGTTTCGAGTTACGAAATACCAGTAATTGGCGGCAAGCAGGGATTTCGTGTTTCCTTTTTGTTGCTGAAATTTGACGTCAGTTTACATTATTTCAAATCTCAAATTGAAAACAACTCTCAAGATATAAATATGGGCAGCCTTGCGATCTAGAATGCAGCCTAGAAGGGGGGGGGGGTCATGCATGGACATGATATGCGTACATCTGCTCAATGTATACACACATAGTGAATTGAATAGCCAATGGTAATATATACTAATGGCTGTGTCGAATAATTCGTGATTGGATAATCTATCACAAACTGGTCAGTAGGAGAGATTTGAGTG